GCAGGATGAATTCTGAAGTGTTTCGGGCAATATTATCTGCTCATATTCAGCCAAATGCTTCAGAACTCATTGGACGCCGCTTCATAGTGCAGATGGACTATGACCCAAAGCATACTGCAAAAGCAACCAAAGAGTTTAAGGGAAAGAAGTGGAATATTATGCAATGGCCAAGTCAATCACCTGACCTGAATCTGATTGAGCATGCATTTCACTTACTGAAGAAAAAACTGAAGGGAAAATGCCCCAAGAACAAGCAGGAATTGAAGACAGTTGCAGTAGAGGCCTGGAAGAGCATCACCAGGGATGAAAACCAGCGTCTGGTGATGTCTATGCGTTCCAGACTTCAGGCTGTAATTGACTGCAAAGGATTTGCAACCAAGTATTAAAAAGTGAAAATTTGATTTATGATTATTATTCTGTCCCATTACTTTTGATCCCTTAACAAGTGGGAGGCACATATGCAAACTGTTGTAATTCCTACACCGTTCACCTGATTTGGATGTAAACCCTCAAATTAAAGCTGACAGTCTGCAGTTAAAGCACGTCTTGTTTGTTTCATTTCAAATCCATTGTGGTGGTGTATAGAGCCAAAAATGTTAGAATTGTGTCGATGTCCCAATATTTATGGACCTGACTGTAGCTTTAATCCATGAATTATCTTCTTTAACTTCTTCATACGCATCTATTAGGTCATTGATGGTTTCTGCACATTCACCCATTTTATGCTCTACAAATTGGACCCTTTCTCCCATGTTATTTAAATCAGAAGAACATTTGTGGAAAAGAGAAGAAAATTCTGAGATTAATGAGGATTGTAGGGAGAGAAGCATTTCTTTCATGGTACAGTCAATTAGAGGCTGACCAGAGGTAGGGAAAGCTGCTATAGATGAGTGTGAGGCTGAATGGGGATGTGAAGGGTTAATCTCTTGGGCTTGTGCTGATGATACTGATGTTCCAGATGGAAGGGGCTCCAGCCTCATGCGGGCTTTTGCTTGGCTACAGGGACCTGGGCTGTGTGTTTGCAGCGGTCTGGGGAGGACTGTGTGTCAATCACAACAGAAAATTCCTGCTCTGCATCTGGGAGATTAGTGTATGAAGCAGCAGCAGTAGCAGAGGAAGTAGGGACGCCATCTTGGCTGCATTCCTGTCTGTCTGATGTGTGCAGAAAGAATTCAGTGAGCTTAGGAGGACGAAGATCCTCCTTCCTTTTATGGGACATCTCTGCTCCTTCTGGTCGGGTGTCAGTGGAGCTAGGTACAGGGCTGGGAGGAAGGTCAGAGGCTCTCAGTCGCTGTGATTTATCCCTCTGTGCAGTGGAGCTCAAGGCTTAGGCAGCCATCCTCGTTGCCAGCAAGCCACACCCCCGGCGTAAGGTTTTTTTAAGCATGATGGTAAAAAAACCTGTGTGCAGAATCCCTCTCAGTCCCCCTCTCCCCCAATACTCACCGGAGCCCCCTCTCGAGCCAGCGATGTGCACTGGAGTCTCAGCAAATGACACAAGGGAGTCCCAGAATAGCTGAGACAGAGGCGGGAGTTACTGGCTCCCACTGCTGTCAATCACAGCCAGTGAGCTAATGAGAAGAGAGAGTGGGCAGGACAGAGTTATGACTCCATGTGTGAATGGACACACTGAGCAGCGAGTGCCCACAAAGCAAGCTGGAGGGGCCAGGAGAGCCTGCGGGAGACCCGAGAAGAGGAGGATCCATGCTGCTCTGTGCAAAACCATTGCACACAGCAGGCAAATATTGACAGGTTTGTTATTTTTTTTAAATAAATAAATCTTTATAATCACTTTAAGGAATGGTCCTCTTAAAGGTCTCAAAGGGTGACCAAACAGTGAAAACAACCACTTGGAAGAATATGCCAGAGCTACGAAGATTTTTGAGTTGCATTGGGTCGAAGGAAAAAGAAGATGGAAGTCAACAAAAAGATGAGAGGATAGAGGAACAACCATAGGATAAAACCGAAATTATGCATTCTCCAACCTGAAGAGTATATTTTCTCTTGGAACAACAATATATTTTTTCACCATCTGAAAGTGCATATCACTGCCAAGACTCTATTTTGATTTTGGATAGAATGAGGAAGGATTAGAGTAACAAAGAGCATTAAACACCCTCACTTCCTGCTACAGGGACAACAGTTTTACAAGGCAAAGTGAGGGAAAATCTGTACAGGGACACAGACAAAAAGCTGACAGAGCTCCTAGCCATCCCTTCTTTACTATAAGAGAAATGATTTGGTCATTGCTGATGAAGATCTTCCGTTACTTACTGTCAGCTAAAAACCAGTGTCATCGTTGCCATTCCTATTCACCAGTTTCCTCTGTGCAGACACCGATGACACACAACTCCTGTTCTGATATACAGTACACCAAGCTTCCTGATCCACAACACATAGCCACAAGCCCTCCCCAGCCCCTTTTCTACTATGCACCAGAACCCATGATAATCAATGTGCTGCTTTATGATGGCACTGCTACCCAGCCAGCTTTTTATTGGCCTGGCTGGTGAAATATGATTTTTGGTTTACCTGTAAAATCCCTTCATTGAAGTACAACATGGTACACAGAGCAACTTTACCTGAAGGTTGCAGCAGAACTTGTATCTTTATGAATGTAAACAGGGAGAAGAGTGGGATCTCTCTGTCCTGTGATGTACTCTAAGAAAAAGATTTTACAGGTAAACCAAATATTCCAAATTTTCTTTATCATACATCATGGTGCACAGAGCATCTTCATTTCCATAATGATAGAGATGTCCCAAAGCACCAAATAGGAGGGGAGGGCAACATTCCCCAAACAAGAATAGGTTAAAATCTCACGCAACAGCTTGCAAAACGTGCCAACCAAAAGGTAGAATCATCCTCAGTGGCTGTAACAACCACTTGGTAAAACTCAGTAACAGTATCAACGGAGGACCAGGTAGGAGCATTATAAAAACTTGAGCTACTGAAACCCGATGCCGAATAGCCCAGGAGGCACTCCTAGTAGAATAAGCTGTCCCCGAAAAAGGTGAAACATTTCCTTTTAAGCCACAAGCATGAGAAATAGAATTGAAAGCAGTGTTAACCTTCTTGGAGTCCTCAAGAAGCACAAAGAGGGAATCTGATTGCCAAATAGCATCAATAAATTTCAGGTAACAGCTAATAGCATGAACCACATCCAAGGTGTGGAGAGCCTTGTCCCCAGGATTCTGAAGCTTAGGAAAGAAGAACGTTAACACAACGTCCTGCTTAAAATGAAACGAAGAAACCACCTTAGGTAAAAAAAAAGGCAACTAAGGTCGTAAAACCACCTCGTCACTGTGGAGCACCAGGAATGATTCCTTACAGGAAAGGGCACCAATTACAAAATTCTGCAAGCCAAGTAAAGGCAACCAAAAAATACATAAGGAGATTCCTGCAAAACAAAAAAGTACCAAGTTGAGATCCTAGAGTCAAACGAATCTTACCTGGTGAAACAATATAAGTAACTCCTTGTACAAAACGCCTGTACCAAACAGTGTGAGGCCATCAGTCACTAAAAAAGGACTGTCAGGAAAATTTGATAAGTTGATTGTACTTGAGGCCAACCATTGATCCACAATAAGGCCAGAATATAGCCAGCCACATATAGATGAGGGTGAAAACCCCGAGCCTCACACCAGGGAAAAAGATACTTCCAAGTCCTGCTGTAAATCTTTTAGGAAGTTGCCTTCCTAGCCTTCAGCAGCATAGGAATGACTGAATCAGAGACACCCTTGTTCCTTAGGGCCCTGGCGTCAACAGCCATGCCATTAAAGCCAGCAACTGTAAATGAGAATGGGAGATCAGTCCTTGTGACAATAGATTGGGATGATCTGTAAGGGTTCATCTTGAAATTGTCCTGGACTAGGCCAGGGCAATCAGAATCACCATAATTTCTTCCACTTGAATCCGGTGAAGCAGATAAGGTATGAGAAAAACCTGTCTAGAAGATACCAGATAATGGAAGAGTCAGAACCGTGTGGAACAAACTGACCCTCTGACAATATTCTTTAAGGAGGCTATGTTCACATTCCTCCCGACCTGCAGGTATATGGGACCCTGCATGCCCTATATTCCCCCATCTCTGCTGTCTGTGAGACATGGCCTGCTGACAATGACAGGAACCCTTGCTAGTAATATAGTGGTCTGCATCAGCACTGAGGCACAAAAACACAGGTGTACTGGTACCTTTTTTTTTGGAAAAGGACCCAGTTATTCTGCCAGTGCCCAACCACCATCAGGAAGGTAATGAGTAGACTTGATGAGCCAGGAGTTGGCTGTGACCTGTAGTCCCACAGACTGCTTCATCTGCATGTAGCGCAAGATAGTCACCATCAGGAAATTCCACTTACCTTGCACATGGAGTTCGACCAGTGTAGGGAAATGCAGGGGGAGGGAGGAAGCTCCCTGCCTCTTCCTCTTGGCACTCAGCTACCCGTACTAACCGCACGCTCTGCTACTGCTTTCAGGCATGACCTTCAGGGACTTGACAACTCAGCTAAGAATCACTACCGTGGACCTATATAGCACCCTTCTGGTCCACAAGGCAATAATATCATTGCATAGGGTCCAGTTACGTAGGGTTCAGCGCTGACCTATGGGATTACAGGTCATCCCTGTGTGTCCAGTACGAGGTCCAGGTACCATTCATCTGAGCATAGAAAAACCCTAGGAAATGTATCTGTATAAAACTAGTCTCCTCATCCTACAAGGAACCAGTGTGAAGCTATCTATTTTCATGCAGGGAGCTCCACAGACATGACCATCACCCAAAGACACTAGAATAAATTAAAAAAAAAAAAAAAAAAAATAACTGAAGCCTTGTCTAGGCATTATGCCTAGAAGAGATCTTCCTGTCTTTTTTTGCTGTCATCTAAGCAGACCTTTTTAAAGTATGCACTATTAAAGTGTGTTACACTGCACTGCTACCCATGTAATTTTCCTTTTCGGACAAAGTTTCTAATAAATATAGTCAGAATGCCATCCTCACTCACAGTTTTCTTGTGACACCTCTCCATAGCTCTCTGACGGGAGAATTCATCCAGTTGTTTGTCCAATGCTTCCTTTTGCTTGAGCACAGAGGGATCTTGAGAAGCTTTGTCTGTGGAGAAAAACGGTAAATTGTAAGCTCCTGTGGAGGACCTCCTAAATTGTTTTCACGGCCTGTTGCATTAATCCTGCTAGGATTATGGTGTTCTTAATCGGAATTTGTATGAAGGAAACCTTGGCTATGAGCAATATGATGGCTGCCACTGCGCCTCCTGGCACACTTAAAGGCTAACTCAATATTCCATTTCACTGGTAAATCCGAATCTAAATTATAAAAAAGGAGCTGCAACTCCCTATTTTCCAGGGGGGGTTCCTTTCTTTGTAGTGGCTTTGCAGCAGCACATTGTTGCTCAGACTCCATTGTCTAAGCAGCCCCTCCAAAGATAATCCCCGGTCTCCAGTTTCCACCTACTCTTCAGAGACAACCGGTTACTATTCACACCCAATCCATAGAGAACACGATACTATTCATACCCAATCCAGAGACAAAACACTCTCCAGTATCCATAAATTCCTTCTAAATTACACTCGCTCCAGAGAACATATCCCTTCAGGGGAAAAGTTTACTTTTCTGTGTCAATGGCTCCTCTGAATACAATCCTCACTCTCCAGTGCTTTTTTTTATTTAAATACAAAATCCACTTTATGATAAACATCATAAAAACAAAAATGCATCCCACATCCATCCACTCCCCCTACCACTAACCACCCCCTTTGTCTTCCCACTCTTTTCATTTAAGTCTTGATCTTCTGGTATATTCCTTGTCAATTTATCTACCCCCTTATCCAGTTCCTTCTCTTTTATCCTTCTCCATACTTTTATTCCTTTATTTACACTCCAACAGCTTCTAAAAATCTTTTGGATAATTTAAAGTCATCCCAACTTCCCAAAGATTTGTTAAATGTTTTGACTTTATTCTCATCTATATGCTGTAATTCCTCCATCACATACAGTTGCAAGAAAAAGTATGTGAACCCCTTGGGATTACATGGAGTTTAGCATGAATTGGGCATAAAATGTGCTCTGAATGTCATCTAAGTCACAACAATAGAAGAACACAGTCTGCTGAACATAATACTACACAAACATTAGATGTTGCCATGGTTTAATTGCACATAACATGTAAACATTCACAGTGCAGGGAGGAAAAAGTATGTGAAGCCCTAGCTTAATGACTTCTCTCAGAGCTAATTGGAGCCAGGAGTGAGCCAACCTTGACTCCAATCAGTGTGATGATATTGGATGTGTTGCTGACAGCTGTCCTGCCCTTAAAAAACACACACCTGTTTTGGGTTTACTGGTTTCAAGAAGCACTGTCTGATGTGGACCATGCCTCGCAGAAAAGAGCTATCAGAAGACCTACGATCAAGAATTGTTGACTTGCATGAAGCTGGAAAGGGTTACAAAAGTACCTCCAAAAGCCTTGATGGTCATGTGTTCATGGTAAGACAGACGGTCTACAAATGGAGAAAGTTTAGCACTGTTGCTACTCTCCCTAGGCATGGTCGTCCTGTAAAAATGACTGCAAGAGCACAGCGCAAAATGCTGCATGAGGTAAAGAAGAATCCCAGAGTGTCCGCTAAAGACCTACAGAAATCTCTGGCACATGCTAACATTTTTTGTTGACACATCTACAATAAGGAAAACATTAAACAAGAATGGAGTACATGGGAGGACACCACGGAGGAAGCCATTGCTGTCCAAAAAGAATATTGCAGCACGTTTGAAGTTTGCAAAAGAGCACCTGGATGTTCCACAGCACTACTGGCAAAATATACTGTGGACAGATGAAACCAAGATTGAGTTGTTTGGGAAGAACACACAACACTATGTGTGGAGAAAAAAAAGGCACAGCACACCAACATCAAAACCTCATCCCCACTGTAAAACATGGCGGAGGGAGCATCATGGTTTGGGGCTGCTATGCTGCCTCAGGGCCTGGAGGGATTGTTGTCATTGATGGGAAAATGAATTCCAGAGTTTATCAAGACATTTTGCAGGAAAAGGTACGACCATCTGTCCGCCAACTGAAGCTCCGCAGAGGATGGGTGATGCAACAGGACAATGACCCAAAGCATACAAGTAATTCAACAAAACAATGGCTGCAACAGCACAGAATACGCCTTCTGGAGTGGCTCAGTCAGAGTCCTGACCTCAACCCGATTGAAATGCTGTGGCATGACCTTAAGAGAGCGATTCACACCAGACATCCCAAGAATATTGCTACACTGAAACAGTTTTGTGAAGAGGAGTGGTCCAAAATTACTTCAGATCGTTGTGCAGGTCTGAGCTGCAACTACAGGAAACATTTGGTTGAGGTTATTGCTGCCGAAGGAGGGTCAACCAGTTATTAAGTCCAAAGGTTCACATACTTTTCCTCCCTGCACTGTGAATGTTTACATGTTATGTGCAATTAAACCATGGCAACATCTATTGTTTGTGTAGTATTATGTTCAGCAGACTGTGTTCTTCTATTGTTGTGACTTAGATGACGTTCAGAGCACATTTTATGCCCAATTCATGCAAAACTCCACGTAATCCAAAGGGGTTCACATACTTTTTCTTGCAACTGTATATACATACCTATATGTCTATATACACACACACTCTAGATATCCAAGCTTTTATTTTAGGGGGTTCTGTTGCTTGCCAGTGTTGAGGAATAAGTCCCTTTGCCGCATTTATTAAATGAAACAATATCGTATTTTTAGAATGCTTCACAGATGTCTTAGATATATGAAAGACAGATCCACGGATCGAACGGTATACTATTCCTCAATATCTCCTGTATGTATTGAATTTTCACATGCCAGTACTCCTGTATTTTGGGACAATACCACCAAATGTGTGCCATTGCTCCCTTAATCTCACACCCTCGCCAACATAAAGGTGATACCTCTGATCTTTACTTATGTGCTATTTTAGGTGTTCTATACCATGTTACAAGACATTTATGATTCATTTCAACCATGCTCATATTCACCGCTCGTGTGTTAATCTAAATACTTTGTTTTTTTTGTTGCTCATTCAATTTTGGTCCAAGCTCATGTTCCCACATATCTAAGAACCCTTGGGATTCTGATCCAGATAATTCAGTAGGGATCTTCTAGAGGAAGCATGTTTTTGTATTTTTTTTAAACTAAACATATGTTCTCGGGGATACATATCCTCCTCTTTCCTTAATAGCTGTGGGAGCATTGCAACAAAATGTCTCAATTGATAATACCGCCATTCATCTAATACTGAAAATATTTCCTTCTTATTTTTTAATTCGTGAAAACATCATAATTCCCCTTTATTTACATTATCTTTCAAAGTGTGTATTACTATCCTTTATCAATTTTCCCGAAATGTTATCATTCCCAGGTGCGAAAAACGTTGTTCCCACCAGTGGAATTAAAAGTGAGTTATACTTCCATTCCATCTGTTTGTGCAATGCATCCCATATCCTCAATACATTCCGTGTCAATGTGCTAGTTTCTTCATCTAGTGTACGAAACTAATGTGGTATCCAAATAATCCTATCTAATTGTGCCTTACTTCGTGTTCTCATTATTTTTACCGAACTTCTCCCCCATGAATTATATATCCAATCTTCTAAACGTGACAGTAACACCGAGGCATAATATCCCCTAAAATCCGGGATACTTAGTCCCCCTCAGTTTATTATTACTCCAAATTTCATATTTAACGCTTGGTTTTTTATTGGCCCATATATATTTGAGTATCTTTTTTTTTTTTTTTTTTCTTAAATGGTACTTTTGGTACCATGCGACCTACCCAGGACACCCATCCCCTTGAAATTCTCAATTCAGCCTTAATTTTGTTTATTAGTGGGATATAATTTGCCTGATATAGATATTTTAGGGACGGGGTTAATTTTATTCCCAAGTATTTCAATTCTTCTTCCTTCCATGTAAAAGGGAATTCTTTTTGAAGAGTTTGTTTCTCTTTTTATCTAGGGTTTGTAATATAAAACAGCATATCATCTGCATGAGATGCAACTTTAATTCGACATCTCCTATCCAAATTCCTTTAACATCTACACTATTCCTCACAGTTGCCAGTAACGGTTCCAGTAACGGAAACAGAGAAAGTGGGCACCCCTGCCTTGTTCCATTGTGCATTCTGAAAAACTTTGACAATGATCTGTTAACCTTAACCGCTGCTGATGGGCTCCTATATAACTCTTTGATCCACGTTAACATTCTGAGCCCAATTCCTAGTATCTCCAGTGTATCTATCATAAATACCCAATCTTCTCTATCAAAGGCCTTTTCAGCATCTATCGATAAGATAACCCCCAAGGCCTTACCTTTTCTACTTTTTTGCAGGAGGAGCAATGATCTTAATCAGTTATCCCTTCCTTCTCTACCCGGAATGAATTCTACTTGATCTAAGTTGATCTATTCCAGCATTAGCTTTTTTAATCTAGTGTAAATCTAGTGTAAATCCAGTGTAAATTTGCTGTCCCTTCAAAATAACTCAACACACAGCCATTAATGTCTAAACCGCTGGCAACAAAAGTGAGTACACCCCTAAGTGAAATGTCCAAATTGGACTCAAAGTGTCAATATTTTGTGTGGCCACCATTATTTTCCAGCACTGCCTTAACCCTCTTGAGCATGGAGTTCACCAAAGCGTCACAGGTTGCCACTGGAGTCCTCTTCCACTCCTCCATGGTGACATCACAGAGCTGGTGAATGTTAGAGACCTTGCGCTCGTCCACCTTTCATTTGAGGATGCCCCACAGATGCTCAATAGGGTTTAGGTCTGGAGACATGCTTGGCCAGTCCATCACCTTTACCCTCAGCTTCTTTAGCAAGGCAGTGGTCATCTTGAAGGTGTGTTTGGGGTCTTTATGTTGGAATATTGCCCTGTGGCCCAGTCTCCGAAGGGAGGGGATCATGCTCTGCTTCAGTATGTCACAGTACATGTTGGCATTCATGGTTCCCTTAATGAACTGTAGCTCCCCAGTGCCGGCAGCACCCATGCAGGCACAGACGTGACACTCCACCACCATGCTCGACTGTACTCTTCACCTGGTTGCC